AAGCCTCACATAATCTTATTGTGACAATAAGCAGATTAATTAAAATATAGTTGAGTGCAGTAGACAAATTAGTATGTTCTACATAAGTATTATTTGTCCATAGTTTCCTTTAAAATCGTCACTGAATATAATAAAAATTAGCCAAATGGATCACAGAATACCATTTTTTGATGACTTGATATGAGTTATTAGTGCTATTTTGTCTGATGCTTTTGAAGATATTACTTTTTCACCCTTTGAAATAGTGATTTGTTTCCCATTAAATTGTCCATTTTAACTCATATGTGGTGGTATCTCTTTTTTTTTTCAGTTTCAAAGTCAAAGTCATTTAATTATTATTTTTAATTGATTTTTTAAAAAAATGACAGCAGAATGCATTACAATTCTTATTACACATATTTAGCACAATTTTTCATATCTCTGGTTGTATATAAAGTATGTTGACACCAATTTGTGTCTTCATACATGTACTTTGGATAATGATGTCTATCACATCCCACCATCCTTGCTAACTCCCTACCCTGTCCCTTCCCCTCCTACCCCTCTGCCCTATCTAGAGTTCATCTATTCTTCCCATGCTCCCCCCTCCCTACCCCACTATGAATCAGCCTCCTTATATTAGAGAAAACATTCGGCATTTGTTTTAATGCTGCTGTTTCTTTTACCATGTTTAATTGCTATCTACACATCTTTGTTGAAGACTCTGAAAAGCTTTTGCCTACTTTTCTTTGGGTTGTTTTTTTATTACTAAATGTTGAAACTGCTTAGTATATTCTGGATACCCTTTTATTGGGTAGACATGCTGCAAATATTTTAGTCCCATCTGTAGCTTTGTTGTTCACTTTGTTAACTGTGTAGTTCATAGAGCAAAGTGTTTAATATTTAATTTCATTCAAAGTATCAAAATTTTCATTTGTGGAACATGTCTTTTTGTGAGTACAATTCACAATCTCTTTGCTGAAACCAAGGTCATATACTTTTGTCAAAGTTCACATTTTACCTTTAGTAGATGATTCAGTTTTTGAGTTAAATTTTGTATGAGCTTATGTGGAGACTTGTTATTGTCCTTTTGAATGCCTGATTGTTCCAGTAACATTTGTTGAAAAGACACTGTTTCCTCCACTGATTTGATTTTGCTTTCGATCCTTTGTTAAATAGCAATTGACCATGATATAAATCCAGTTCTGGACTATACCTTCTCTTTCATTACTCTATAATTTCACAACATCACTGACTGTTTTAATTACTATTGCATTATATAAGACAAAATATTCTTTATAAGTCCTCTACCTTCTTTTTTCCTTTTTAAAATTTTTAGACATAAAAGCATAGAAATTGTGCATATTAGTGGGGTAATGTGAGACTTCCATACGTATTTAAATTAAACACATCTATTTCCTCAAACATTTTTAAGAATTGTATTGATATTGTAGTCTCTTTGCCTTTTCATGTAACTTTTAGAACCAGCTTTTTTCAGAAATATTGACAGGCACAGTGGTTCATGCCTATAATCCCAGTGGCTTAGGAGGCTGAGGCAGGAGAATTCCAAGTTCAGAGCCAGCCTCAGCAACAGCAAGGTGCTAAGTAATTCAGTGAGATCCAGTCTCTAAATAAAATATAAAAAAGGGCTGAGGGATGTGGTTCAGTGGTTGAATATTCTTGAGTTCAATCACCTGTACCCACCCCCTAAAAAAAGAAACATGAAATACTGCTTGGTTCTTTATTGAGATTGAGATATACATACATATATATATGTATACATATATATATACATATATATATGTATGTGTATATGTAATACATATATGCATATATATAGGTTATCATAATATTATTGGGTTTCAATTCATAAATATATATCTGTATTTAGTTATGCCTTCTTTGAAACCTTACACCTTGGTTTTGTGGTTTCAGCATAAAGATCCTATCTGTATTTTGTTAGATATATAACTCATATTTTTAATGTCATTATTTTTTCTTGAGTGAGCTGTGGTAATCTGTGGCTTTCAATGACTTAATTAATTCACCTAAGTTGTTATATTCATTGACCTAAATCAAAATATTCCTTTTGTGTTCTTTTAATATACATAAAAATTAGTGAGGCCATTACTAGCATTGCTATTATTGGCAACTTGCATATTCTCTGTTTTATTTCTTTTGCTGTTTCCTGACAAATCTGTTTAAAAGTTTAATCAATTTTAGGGACCTTCTAAAATAACAGCTTCCAATTTTTATGTGTGTGTATGTGTATATGTATGTGTATATTCTATATATCATGTAAATTACATATAATAAATATATATTATGTGTATATGTTATATATTAAATATATCATGTATGAATATATAGTGTGTGTATAAACATAATATGTAATGTGTATATATTCTATATTATATGTAATATTTCTTTTTTCTGCTTTATTATTTTAGTTCAGATCTTTGTTTTTTCCTTTTGTCTGCACACTTCATATTCATTTTTTTCTTCTTTTGCTAATGTATTAAGATAGAGGCTAAAGTAATTTTTTTAAAAATATTTTTTAGTTATTGATAGACCTTTATTTTATTTATTTGTATGTGGTGCTGAGAATCGAACCCAATCATCATGCTTGTGAGGCAAGCACATTACCACTGAGCCACAACTCCAGCCCCCCACCCACCCCAGGCTAAAGTAATTGATGTGGAACCCTAATCCTTTCTGTACAGATATTTAGTGTCATCAATTCATTCCATAATGCTTCAGTGGCACTCCAGAATTTTGATATGGTTTGTACATTGATGTTTGGATGGAGACGAGTGAACATTACCCAAATAGTTTTGTGTGTATGTGGGATGGGAGGTAGATATTGACAAAATTGTTTTTTCTTTCACTTTTCTTCTATCTTCTGACTGAAGAAACAGGCTTTTCTTTGTCATTACTTCTTGGTGTTTGGGGTTGGAGACGTGGACAGTTACCTGGTTTTTGTTTTTATTCTTTGCAGTACTGGGGATTGAACCCAGGGCCTTCCCAAATGTTAGGCAAATGCTACATCCCCATCCTGGATCATCTGTTTTGAATTTTGCTTTGAAAAACTAAGTTTGTTTGAACATTTTTATCTGTTTTAGTGTTATTAACACTGGTTCAGGGAGCTTTTACTCTGGGACTAGTTTATTCAGAATATTAATAAGGCGACTTTACTAAATGATCTAGTCCAAGGCTCTTTCTACTCTTAAAAAAAAATTGAATTTCTTCCAATGTTTGAGTGCTCTGGAATCTTTGACCTTATTCTCCATTGGTTTTCTTCCCTCTGGTAGTTATTCTTTGTTGCCCAGTGTCATGGAATTTTGTCCTACAACATGTCAGCATTCAGCTAAAGTATTCAGGGGATTGCTGTGCAGATTTGTAGGTCTTTCACTCTATGATTTCTTCCTCTTTGGTTTTCTATCCTAAAAATTCTTGTGACCTCAATCTCCTTTAAAACACTGATTATTGTTTCCTTTGTTTATCAAAACTGCTATCTTTTGCTTGGATTCTTCCTGTCTGCTGTTTACAGGAGAACTCCTCCTGTTTTATCTCTGAGATTGTCCTCAGGTGGTGCTGCTTGTATTCCAGTCCGCAACAAAAACGATTTTGACTATTAGTTCAGTTTCTTCATTATTTGTGGCTGGAACTCTGTTTCCATTTATTATTCTTGCTTGGTCTTCATCAGTTTTATTTCTGTACAAAATCACTCTTGCTTGTTTACTTTGTCTCATTTGTTTTCCAATTGATTTCTGCTATTTTATTTCCCCAGAATTGATAATCATGTTGGCTTTTGTTTGCTTCTTTCTAATTTCTTAAAGTGAACAAATTATTGATTTTTATTCTTTAATAATGGAATTATAGCTATTTAATGCTAAATTTCCCTTTCAGCACTACTTAAGTGTCAGTTTATGTTTTATTTAATGATTTATTATCATTCAGTCAAACATATTTAATGTTTTTTTTAAATTTTTGTTTCCTTTTTAATCTATATACACATGAAGCTTTATTATGGGAAGAAACCTAATAACTGACAGATGTCAACTTTTAGTTTCAAGTTAAGTTATATGTAATTTGAGGAATCATCATTTTAGCCTGAGAACATCAAGAAATATGTTGCTCTTTGTCATCTTCTTTGAACTCTATGCATCCATTATGTTTTAAGCACACAATTATGATGACATTTTAAATTCTTGGAGCCAGTAGTAACTATGCTGACAGATTCTTTAAGATCATTACCTGATTTCAGGAACCCCAATTGGCTAGATGAGGCTTGGGTATTTTCAGATTTAAAGCAAGTCCTAAGGGAAAATAAACACATTGCCTATGGAGTTATGGCATGCTGTCGGATCCTGGATTCATTCATCCCCTAAATCCTTTAGCTAAATTTGTTTGTTTTTTGTTTTCAATATAAAAAATAAATCTTCATATGTTTAATTTTTAAAAATTTGAATTACTAGAGATATTTTTAAAGAACAACATGAAATCATGATGTTCCTTTTGATTTAACAAACTGTGAGGAAAGAGTATTTTCAACATTAAAGAGAATAATCTATTTTTAAAGCAGAGAGTTAAATTAATGCCTCTTGTAGGCCGAATACAAAGGATTGTTTTGGTTAGTAGGCTAAATAGTCCACGTAACTTTTTTTTTTTTGCCATATTTCTATCATGTAATGCATCCAAGGAAATCTAATTACATTATTGTAATTAGAATTACATTATTGTAATTAATTTTATTGAAACTTCTTATAATTTCTCAGAAAGGATTATAAATGTTTAATTGTAACCTTCTTACCAAAGGAAAACATTTCATAAAGGACCTTTATTTAATATCTTTGGAAAATCATTGCTTAATTTCTGTAGCACAATAACCTGGATGATTAATAATTATTCCAGAAATTTAGACACAAATGGCTCATTATTTTTTGCACTGTCATATTATTAGAGTCTTTATATAATTATATTACATGTGCTTGTCTTTTCCTTATCCTGTTCCCTTCTAGAAACATGTTCAAAAAATGATATAGAAATTAAGAATGGGTTTCTTTCTGAATCTGACTTTATATATAATCTAAATAAAGTAACACAATATAAGTGCAAACCAGGCTATGTAACTGAAGATGGTAACACATCGGGATCAATTACCTGCCTCCAAGATGGATGGTCAGCTCAACCCTCCTGTGTTAGTAAGTGGTTTATTATATTAGTATCATTATCCTGATGATATACAAACGTTAAACTTTATTCTTTCTTGATGTGACTATGTTTCATTTTAATAGGCAAACAAAAACATTTGATGAAAAGTATATGTCATCATTTTTTTTTCTCAGAATTGCTAGTATGGTAGAACATAAGTACATCTTTCCTCCCCTGACAGACATTTTAAAGAATACAATGATTTAGAAGTGACTCAGAGAGCTTCAGGTGTATTCTGGTGCTGACTCATTTATTTTAGCTGAGATCTTTGTCACTGTTAGGTATAACTGTGTTTTAGGTGGTCAACCTCTTATATCAAAGGCTTCGATCCCAGACATAAAAGTAATGTTCTTAGTGAAAATATGGAGCCTTGGTATATAACCTCAGAATATTTTAACCTTTATAACTTATATGTTTGACATTGTAAGATAGGTCTACTTCTGAAAAACCTCCCCCCTTAAACATCTGCATAAACATCTAGGTATTTGAAAGGAGGGAGTGTTTCAAGGTGATACCAGTTTTTGCTATGTTGAAAGATTTTCCTGCTATAATACCCAAGGTTAATGAAGATTTTCTAGGAATGATTATTTCTGTTTATCTTATTAAACTCAAAGTTATTCAGTAATATTTTGCAAGCAATACTTAACATACTTTAAATGACATGACTAAGATATTCATTCTTACTTCTTAATTTCTATTCCTTATTTTACAATTTCTATGCTTACAGCATCTAGCTAAAAAATGATACAAATTACTGCTTTATAAAACTCATCATATGCTAAATTCTGATAAATAATCCATTATGAAACTTTCTTATTAAGAAATAGAAAATCTTATTTAAAATACATTAATATTTTGTTAATCAATCCACACTTCTTCTATTATGTCACAACTACTAATAAGTCTGACATCTTAATTCTCAAAATGCCATTCCAGTCTTCTAAAACAAGTAATACATATTTATTTTATTACTAGCATTTATTACTATTTTATTACTAGCATAAGGTAAATGCTTAAATAAAATAGAATTTTAAAAAGTTTTTAAAGTGAACTTTTCAGAGAGTTTAAGTAATCAGAAAAAGGTTATGAAGGAACATTTTTAATTTATTGTAACTTTCAGAAAAATGACTTATCATTGGTCTTAGGCTATTTTTGTACAGTACTTAATTCTAATCACATATTTACTTATAAAGTCTGTGTTCTTGGGGTGAGATTTTCTAGTATTGTCATTTAAATTACAATAGAAATAAAATCCTCAATTTTATTATGCATTAGAATCTTGTGATATGCCAGCATTTGAGAATGCTAAAACCAAAAGTAACGCCACATGGTTTAAACTCAATGACAAGTTGGACTATGAATGTAATGTTGGGTTTGAAAACAGATTCAAGCGTGCCAAAGGATCCATAGTATGTCAGGACAATGGATGGTCACATATACCCACATGTTATGGTAAGTACTGTCTCAGAAATTTTTGTTTTTTGTTTTCAATATAAAAAAATAAATCGGCATGTGTTTAATTTTTAGAAATTTGAATTACCTATGTGAATTACCTATATTTTTAAAGAACAACATGAAATCATGATGTTCCTCCTGATTTAACAAACTGGGAGGAAGGAGTATTTTCAACATTAAAGATAATAATCTATTTTTAAAGCAGTGAGTTAAATTAATGCCTCTTGTAGGCCATATACAAAGGATTGTTTTGGTTAGTAGGCTAAATAGTCCATATAACTTTTTTTGCCATATTTCTGTCATGCAATGCAGCCAAGGAAATCTAATTACATTATTGTAGTTTCTTTGATATGTCCAATTAGAAGACTATAAACATGTGGTGGATTTGGCAATATGGGGCTCCTGTTGGATATCCTGGTAAGGGTTGCCAATAAGGCCATCCAATTTTGTAACAAGAGGAAGTAAAGAACATGGGTGTGTAAATCTAATGCTGAAAAGAATCAGAAACTGATGATTCTATTGTATTTTGAAGTATGAGACAAGGGCATTGAGATTGAATAGTGCATGAGGGAAAGAGGATGAGGAACACCGTGTAATGTTCAAAGGCTTAAATTTAAATGGTAGTAGAAGATACCACACCTTGAGACTTGATTGGCAGGATTGAGCATCCACTAAAATTTAATCCATTTGGGATATCAAGCAATTTCTTTTATAAGTTAGGGGAAAGTGATAAAAAAAAAACCCCACAAACTCAGTTCTGCTTTCTGGATTTTTCATTGCAGTATCAGAGAACCAATCCAAAATCCAATGAATTAAGGCACATAATAAACCAATTAATAAAAATAGTTTTAGTATGTTTTATATATGTGATTATAAGCAGATACATGCTGTGTGCAGCCAGAAGCTTTTACAATACTAAGTGTCCATCTTCAAAAAAGCCTGGTGCATTAGCTTAGTGCTGGAGTGCTTACCCAGCCCAAAGCCCTGGATTCAATCTCGAGCACTGAATGAGAGTTATGAATATATGATTCTCATTGCTTTTCCACTGTCACTAGACATGGAAAATGTGAAGATGTGCAGAAGAGAAGAGAAAGTAAGAGTGACAGAGATATAGCAATAGAAACGAATTCAGTCAAAGTAGCTTTTTATTGCGAATTTTATGAAGACTAATAATCACATTTCCAGGAGATGTAAGTCTCCATATATTGAGTGAATAAATGACAGCTTAGTATTTTTGCCTCAGCCATGTAGCATAAAACTGCACACAGATTGACAGATATACAACTTTATTTCAAATGTCTGGGAGTTCTTGTCTATGGGGAGATGTTTACATTAATATCCTAAACCGCTTAAGCAAAACAGACTTACAGAAATCTTAAAGTAGTAAACACCTTAGAGTAAAAATATCTATACTAACATTTCTGTTCATCAGCACTAAAATATATGATTTGAACTATTAGACAAAGACAAGTATTTCTCATCCAGGGTTTGTCCATTCACACTTCTCTTTAAACCACACATTTAGTTACTATCTCTGTATAGATATAGCAGTTTGATAGTACTCAACAGTCAAAATCATTTTTTTCTTGTTAAGGGCAATGCTTTCTATAATATGATGAAATAGAGAATTTATATAAAACAGCCTAAAATAAATATACACACACAAAAGAACTTTTAAGTTTGGGAAATTTTCTAATATTGCATTGAAGAGATTGTGCATTCCTTTGGTTTGTATCTCTGAGCTTTTATCTATCCCAATAAATTTTAAATTTTCAAGTTATCTCATATTTCTTGGAAGTTATGTTCAGGATATCTTAACATCTTTCTCCACAGTCAACTTTATTTTTAAGATTATATATTTTGTCTTCATTGCCTGAAACTCTGTCTTCCAAGTGGTCTAAAATGCTCATGATGCTTTCCATTGAATTTTTAATTTGGTTTATTGATTCCTTCATTTGGAGGATTTCTGCTTGATTTTTTTTCAGAATCTCTCTTTTTTGAAATGATCTTTTACTTCCTGTATTTTCTTTCTGATTTTACTTCTTATATTGTCTTTGCTTTGCAGATCAGTTTAACTATATATTTTCTAAATTCCTTCTCTGACATTTCTTCTACTGTGGTGTTGATGGATTCTGTTATTGAAATACCTTGGTTTGTTTGGGGCTATTTGTTCCCCTTGATTTTTCATGTTGTTTATGTATCTACCCATGGGACAATATGGCTCTGAGGCAGCAGAGTTTCTGCCTTGTGAACTTGTAGTGTCCCTGAAGGTTTCCAGTACCTCACTGTTTAAATGGGAGCAAATAATCACAATAACCAATGCAAACAATATATAGCTTTAAACCAGACAGTTCCTATTATGACATCTACAATGCTAAATGTCACAATAAACAGAAATTATATGATCAATTATCACCCACAGTAAAAACAGTATGTTTGCAAAAGGGTTTACAATTTCAAATAGTAGACTGGAGAGAACAAAAGTGATGTGGGATATGATGATTATGAGGGAGGGGGAGAGAAGATAGAAGTAAAAATTTAAAGGAAGAGTGGAAGGGAGGACAATGGAGATTGGCTGTTAGCAGAAGAAAAGAGAGAAAGAAAATAAAAAGAAACAGATAAGTGAGAAAAAATACATATATAAGGTAAAAATTTTTAAAATTAAAAACAAAATTAAAAGAATACAAAACAAAACTGAAATATAGTAATCAAACATCCTAGTCCTCAAAATACTGATCCATGAAAAGTAACTGGTTTCAAAAATGTTATAAATGAGGAAAAAAACACCAAATATGAATATGTATAAATGTCCATGAATAACTCAAGGTCACAATTTAACAAAGAAAAAAGGGAAAAAAAGATCTTGATGAATTAAAAATGGGAGTTCATAATCTGCTTGAATCAAATGTATGAAATATGATATGTCAAGAGCTTTGTAATGTTTTGAACAACTAATAATAAAAAAAGAAAAAAAAATAATGCTGTTAGTATGTAATAAAGATGTATTATTTTAACTATTGAAAAAAAAAAGAAAAATTAACAATTGTGTTTGCTGGAGTTCAAAAGATTCTTAGCTTCCCTTCTCAGCAGTGTTAGGTGGGATTGCTGGGGAGAGAGAGGTAATCCCATAGGTGGAACTCCTGAAGGCGGGTTTTAGATTTAGGTGGGTCTCTAGGTTCTTTACTGAATGCCAATTGGTCTGGAGACTTTAAATCATGCACCTCCAGGGATCAGCAATCGTCAATCCATGTTGGAAGACTGCACCCCAGGGATCTCCCCTGGGTTCCACTCATGTGGGTGAGAAGCCAATATTAAGTCCACTACATCACCTGTTGATTCCATGCTTCCTGGTCTTGGGTTCAGTCTCCAAACCCACTCTCTCCCACCTCACCCTTTTGAATTCCTAGCTAGGCATGTTTCTTCTAGTTGGTTCTGAAAGCAGCATGTTTAGAGGGAGAGGGGGAAAGCCAATTGGGTTTCCACAACCAGTTCTCCTCTGTGTAAACCTCTCTCCACATTTGATTTTCTCCTGGTCACTTAGACACACTTTATGTCATGAGTGTGGGTTTTCTAGGCCTGTATTTTGGGACAAACTCGGGTTTTTCAGGAATCAGCTCTCCTGGCTACTGGCCACCACACCATGGCTGCAAAATGGTTCTTTCCTCTGTCCTCTGCATAAAGTCTGGAGAGATGGTGGCTTCTTACCCACACAAGCATACTGTGAAGCACCCCATTCAGCTTAGTTGGGCAGTGTCTTTGATCTCTAAACTTTCTATATCTAGATAAGCCTCAAGTATACCCCAAATGTGGGCTCCTTTAATTCCTTTATCACTCCACTTTGGTCATGGAGGGACCACTGTGGCTGGTTCTTCCAGCTGTGGTAGTGGCTGTGGAGCTGGGGATTTCTTCCTTATTTTATTTTATACAACCTCTGAGTCCCTGATCTGCCTTGAATGTCGAGCATTAAATTCCAATAAAGCCTCCCCCAACCTTTTTTGTTTTATTTTGTTTTGTACACCCACCTTGCTAAGAAGCTACCTGTCTGCTTTCTTGGTTTCATGCCTTGGGCAGCCACAAGAGTGGCTTCTCTAGTCTGCCATCTTGAAACCCCCTCCAAAGACAAAATGACTTTAATGTAGACGATTGTAATATAATTCAAGGAGTGGAATCCCAGTGACTCTCCTTCAAGTGTAGTTTTTTTCTCAAGTAATCTGCAATACTCAAAAGAATTACAAAATTAATTGGGGTTCTGGGGATTGATTCCAGGTCCTCACACCTGCTAAGCATGAGCTTCATCCCCAGCCCCAGAGAAAAAACTTTTAGTTTTTAAAGCATTATTCTTAAAAATAGTTTTTATTGTACATTTAAATTTATAAATGTTTTGGTACTTGAATTTCGATAGTATACATTTTCTTTCTACCATGGTTCTAATTTTATAATTGCAGCCTTTAATTTTATGAATTTGTAAGGAAGAGGTATTCCAAATAAGAAAAATGATTTTTCAATGTTATTTGCTAGTGTTACCTACTTTTAAAAAATTAAAAAATGTGAGAGAATTTTATACAGTATTCCACATTTGAATTAAAATAACTAATAATCATTAATAAAAATTATAATAAAATAATTGAATATTAATGTAAGGATTCAACACACCTATCAGTTTGACTTTGAACTATTTCTTAGTTTGTTTTCTTTATTTGTAATATATTAATTATATAATTTTTTAATGTTACTCTAACTTCAAATACATTAGAGATGCTTTTTAATATAATCTATTTTCTCAATTATATTAAACAGAAAAGCCAGTTTTTTAAAAAATGTACAATTTAAAATTTATACAAAGCAGGTTGATTTAATATGAGAATAATTCCGTGTTTTAAGGGTACAAAAATATGACATAAATTTTACAAATATCAATAATAAGCCAGATTCAGTGAAAACTAGTTGAATTTGCAAGTTAAATTTCAGGACAGATATATTGCCATTCAATATCACCATATTTCTCAGAGTCCTAGATGAGTAAATTTAGGCAGTGAATAAAACTAATCTGTAACATTTTTTCCAGGAAGAGGATTTGTCTGATACTGTCCTGTATATGCATCACTGAACACCTACCTCATTTTAAAATGACAATGTAAAATGTAATTTGTCAATGATTATTTTATTTTTTATTTTAGAAAGGGAATGCAGGATTCCCAAAATGGGAAAATTCTTAATGGCTGATCCCAAGAAAGATAAATATAAAGTTGGAGATTTGTTGAAATTTTCCTGCCGATCAGGACTTACAAGAGTTGGACCAGATTCAGTACAATGCTACCATTTTGGATGGTCCCCGGATATCCCAATATGTAAAGGTGAATATTTATCTTTCTGTTGTAAATATGATGATTAGAATATTTAATATAAACCTTTTTTCTTTCTTCTATTAATTTTTTATTGGCTTCCACCGTATCTGTAATCTAATTAATGAAGTTGTTGATATGTGCTATGTGGCAGAAAGCACAACTAGTTTATTTAAGAATTTAATCACCAATTATTTCTTGAAATATGTATTGGGAGTATTCATACATACAAATATGGTGGCTGAGACTAGAGAGATTTACTTTGTTACTTTCCATTTTTCCTACACTGCTACCATTAATACTGGACATATTATATAGTACAGGACTTCTCTCAAGTTTCACAGAGTATATCTAAACAATACTTAAACAGTTTATAGTTAATTCAATGGAGTACATTAGAAAATCAGTTAAAGATGTTGATCAAATGCTTGTCTCATTGATGATACTTTCTCAAAAAATTATGATAAAATGTTACTATAGAATTAAAAATTAATATAATTTACACAACCACATTTGCTAACAGTTTGTATGTATCTTCAAAATATCTACATCATTGAAAATATTCAAAGCTTTAAAATATTTCCAATGTTACTATAGTAGAATTAATCCAATTTGGAAATATGAATATAATGTAAAAATTTATTTTTAATTAAGAATTTTACAATTAATCATATGAAAAAATGATCAATTAAAAAAGCATTCTCTCCATTTTTCTGGATTTTTTTACGTGCAAGATAGACTATTTAACCATTAACCATTGTTTCTACTATAGATCAAGTACAGTCATGTGGTCCACCTCCTCCACTATTCAATGGGGAAGTTAAAGAAACAAAGAAAGAAGAATATAGACACAATGTAGTAGTAGAATATAATTGCAATCCTAGATTTTTGATGAAGGGACCTAATAAAATTCAATGTGTTGATGGAACGTGGACAACCTTGCCAAAATGTATTGGTAATATATTAAAAATACTAAATTTAAACTGAAATATTTTTGTATTTATTTAAACATACATACTGTGTCTTCATTATCAACATGTATTTGTGAAATTTACATAGAGGAGGAGAGAACATGTGGAGCTATACCTGAACTTGACCATGGCTTTGCCCAGCCTTCTGACCCTCCTTATCACCATGGGGATTCAGTGGAGTTCAATTGTATAGAAACCTTTACAATGATTGGAGACAGATCAATTACATGTATTAGTGGAATGTGGACCCAACTTCCTCTGTGTGTTGGTAAGACTGCCCTCCTCAAATTCACACTTAATGAAGTTTAAGTTTTATGGAAAAGATATTTGCAATCTATTCATAAAATTAGAGATATTCTTGAAAAAAGTCTAGTCTTAACTATAATGAATTTTATTGCTCAGCATTTAATATGAATTTCCAGAAGAAATAAATAAAAGTAGTGATAGAATTTATTAATGTTTCTATCCCTATTAATATTATTTACCTTATAAGTGTAAAGCTAGATTTTACTTAATCACATGATTAAAATGTGAATATTCCTTTCCAAAAAATATGAGTATTCTACATAGATATTGTTGTTGTTCTATATGGCACTCTGTCTTTCAAGCCCCGGAAAACAAATAAAGTCCACAAAATACCCACTTGTTACTAGCTTTTCCTATAAGAATCTTTCTCTGTCAGAGATTCTGACAAGGATAAATTCTCAGTTTCAAAGTTAGCAAGCTGCAATCCCTAAAAAACAAATGCCAAATGTCTGCTTTGATATAAGGAGAGTAACTAAGATCAGAGTAGGGACGAAGAGCAGGAGAAGAAGATTAACATTTAACAGGGATGAGAGGTGGGAGGGAAAGGGAGAGAGAAGGGAAATTGCATGGTAATGGAAGGAGACCCTCAGGGTTATACAGTGGAGGGGGTAGAGAGAGAGGAGGGGAGGGGAGGGGAGAGGTGGGGAGGGGAGAGGTGGGGAGGGGGTAGAGAGAGAGGAGGGGAGGGGAGGGGAGAGGTGGGGAGGGGGGAGGGGGGAGGATGGGAAAGGCAGCGGAGCACAACAGACACTAGTATGGCAATATGTAAATCAATGGATGTGTAACTGATGTGATTCTGCAATCTGTGTATGGGGTGAAGGTGGGAGTTCATAACCCACTTGAATCAAAGTGTGGAATATGATATGTCAAGAAATTTGTAATGTTTTGAACAACCCACAATAAAAATTAAAAATACAAAGTTAGCAAGCTGAAGTTCATGAGCTGCAGCACAGGTGTTAGTAGTAACTTAGCAACATTACATATCTGGTGTTTGGCCAGAAATCAAATATCACTGATTGATTTCACACTTTCCCTGTTGGTGATCAAGCCTTTGATGACCAAAGGAAAGATTCTTCACTTTTCTCTTAGACTGAGTTCTTTCCTAGATTTCTCTGGGTCCTTCATTTTAAGTCTGTCCTGGGTATCCAGTCTTATTTATTCATTGGATTTCTAGACATAATTAATCTCAGAACAGAGTAGAGTTCCTCCAGAACAGGAATTACCTTTGTTTTGTTCTCATGACATTAAGATGGATTGACATACAGAAGCATTTATTAAGTTTTTGTCAAATGAAACAATAAATTATGTTGATTATTAACATTCTTTGCTAAACACATTTCTGTGAATAAAGTGTCTTCAATCCTTTTGGACCTCACCTTATCCTTGTCCTTTTTCATACACAAATGGTTTTATCTGATTTCATATGGGAGGAAAACTAATATTAGGCGGCAGAAACTCTCAACTTTTCATTTTAATTAAACTCAAAGTTGTGCTACAATTATTATTTCTTCTGATCTCAGAGTTTTTCATCCTGTGAGTCATCTTCTGCTAACTGCCTATAGTCTGCTTCATATAAGTCCTTCCAGCTCTCATAGTTTGGTCTATAATTCTACCCTTTCAATATTCATTTTGTACTTTCCACCACTCTAGCTTTTCATGCTTCTCAATATATTTATTTACTCCCAAAACCAAAGAAATCCTTTCAGAAACCGATCAAATCCAGGGCACAAACAGTTTCCCTTGACCAAAGATGTTCCTCTAGTTTCTACCTCTTGTTTTTCCTTTCTCAACACTGTGGACCAGCCCCAAGGATGAGACTAATTCTCAAGTACCTCATGTGCTTTTAAATTTCCCATTTCATTGTTTTTAAAGATTGGTTTACAAACTTACTGTGCTTTGGTAGTTACTGATTTTTCTTTGCTCTGTTTATCCTCACTTGACTCTGCTTTTCAAATTGTTAATAACAAATATTTACAGAGACCAATACAGACATTTTATCATTTTCAAAAAGAACTCTCATCTTCCCTGAGTTATTGAAATATATGGTACATTGAAAGCTTCTGTAGTACTTATTGAACTCATAACAGAGTCAGCAAAATTTTCTTGTTATGGTATTATAATATTATTTGATGGTAGTATGATCTGGTATACATAATAGTTTCTTAAAGACTCTAAGAATGGAAAAAGAGAGATTATGATTTTAAAGCACCTGATTTCTTTTTTACTTTTTCTTTTTTATGATGTAGGGATTGAACTTAGAGCCTGGAAATGACAGGAAAGCCTCTACCACCAAGCTACACTTCTAATGAAAGCACACAATTTCTTATTCCAAGTATTTCCTCTCTCTCTCAGATCATATAACAAATCTGCTTAACTATTCATGTCCTATAAAATATATTTTAGATAGATTTTATTATATTATGTTACTACTCTCAAAAATATGTTTAAATGAACAACTTGTTATATTACATTTCCATAGATGATGTTTTTATTTTAATATTTAAGGATTCTAGATTATAGATAATATAGTGGTGGTTGCAATTAGGAAAACAAATGAATATGAATCTTTTACACAGGTTTCAAATATGGGACCAAATCTAGTGTTTTTAATTTTTTTTCCAAATTTAGTTCTTTGATAACTATTTAGTATGCAAATCTTCTGAGAAAATGAGTCTCTTGTGCTCTTTCAGTTACCAAAGTACAAAATATCTTTATGACAGGTATTCTCTATAATAGTTCAAAGATAGGACATAAATGCCATCTCATGCAGTGGTGACCAAGAATAATTTGGTTGATAGAATTTAAAGGCACAAATCAAAATTTCATTTGACATTGACTGTACAGCTACTTTATATTGACTTGATTCTTATAATTGGTCTTTTCATGGAAATATTTTCATTTTATAGCAACAGATCAACTTGAGAAGTGTCAAGCACCAAGACTAACTGCAAATGAAGCAAATCAATCAGATAAAAATGAATATAATCATAATTTTAACTTCAGTTACCCATGTAGGGGAAAGTTGGAGCAGAAACATTCAATCTGTGTCAATGGACGATGGGACCCTGAACCAACCTGCACAAGTAAGTTCTTGTGTACAATGTTTTCTAAAATTCATTACATTTTTCCTCACTTATAGAAGTAGTATTTTGTGTTTTTTAAAAATTTAGCTATGTGTTGATATAATTTCTTTTGAAGTTGGAAGGTAATTTTTGTCTCTATCTGCCTTGAAAATTCTGGGTTGTATTGACACTTGCAATTCCAATTGAATAGCAAAGAGCATTCTAGTCTTTCAGTTTTTTATATCTTTTTCTCTATAATTATAAGGACTAGCTTCAATAGTTTTGAAATTCTGCCATACCAATATATAGGAAGTATGGCCATACCAATTTAAAAAAGAAATGTAAGGCATATATTTTAACTTGATAATTTTCTTTCTCTATTTTATTTTGGTAGTATTTATTTATTTATTTATGTTTGCATTACAATTCTTAATACACAATTATATCATAATTTATCATATCTCTGATTATATATAATATATGTTGAGATAATTTTTTTAAAAGGAAACAATTTACATGCAGTGAAGAACACATGTTCTTTTACATTTTCTTCCTGAAGCTTTATAGCTTTATAGTACTAGAATTTAGTTTTATCACCTTATATTAATTTTGAGTACAAGATTAAGTAGCAGTTGTTTTTTTTCTCTGTATGGATAGCCAGTTGTTCAAGCAATATGTATGAAAAAGAATCAATTATTATGAAAGTACTGATTTATTTCAGCACTCTTCATTCAATATTTTACCATAAGTGTCATGTTATTTTGGGATTTACATAGGTGCTGTTTATCAAATTGAGGGGGTTTCTTTCTGTTCCTAGTTAGCTGAGAAATTTTGATCATTGGGGGGTGTTGAATAAATGCTAAATACATTTTCTTTATTGATAATACAGTGAATTTTACATGTTTGTGTGCACACATACATATAAAAATCTTAAATCTTTCATTCTATTTTAAAAAACATTTATGCTTTTAGTTGTAGATGGATACATATTTTATTTTTATATGGTGCTGAGGATTGAACCCAGTGCCTCACGTATGCTAGGCGAGTGCTCTGCCTCTAAGCCACAACTGCAGCCCTTAAATCTTTCATTCTTGAGGAAAAACTCTACTCGTACATGATGTGATGTAATTCTCAGTTCTACTGTGCTGAATTGTATGTTTGGGCAAGTTATATTTTCATTTCCATGTGTCTCAAGATACTATCTAAATTTTCTTTTGATTTCTTCTTTGGCTTATTGCTTATTTTTATGTTTTAGATAAGTTGTCCCCAAAAAAACCCATGTGTGTGAAATGCAGGAATGTTCAGAGGTGATATGATTAGGTAATGAGAGCTGTAACCTAATCAGTGGATTAATCCATTTAATGGATTATTAATATGAAAAAACTACTGACTGTACTGTACTGTACTGTACTTCCAGCTTAAAAAGAATTTATATAGGCATGTGACTAAAAACAGGTAAGATATGACTGGAGGAGGCACATCACTGGGGGCATGTCTTTGAGCATTTGAAGTATATTCCATCGCATCATGACTTTGAGACAATTGACACAAAATTTCAGAAAATTCAGAGCATTTGACACAAGCTCCACTCTTCTTTTTTTTGCCCAATAAAAGCCTGGAAACTGGACTTTATTATCAATTGTGTAGCTCTGTGCTGGGGGAGAGGATATGGAAAGATATGAATTTTCCTACTGGCTTTGATGCATTTGTTTAGGGCTCACCTGGCATTAAGAGCCTTTCAACCACTTTGTAGATTTCTCTCAAAGAGAATTGGTTCATGTATTGTTGACCAGTGTCTATGGGGAAAAGGAGGATTGAGGATTCCTGATCTGTCACTCCTTTGTTACATTCTTGATATGTTGTGCTCTATCATGATTCTTTATCATTTTTCTGTTAATCAGCTTTTCATTGCTGTGATGAAAATACCTGAGAACAGCTTAGGGAAGGAAAAGTTTATTTGGGGCTCACAGTTTCAGAGGTTCAGTTCATGGTTGGCCAAATCCATTGCTCTGAGCCTGAGATGAGGCAGGGTATCATAGCAGAGGAGAATTGCTTAAATCATGATAGCTTGGAAGCAAAGAGTGGGGAGCCACAGGGATGGTGAACATCCTTTTAGGGCATATTCCTAGTGACACACCTCCCCCACCTTTCTACAGTTACCATTTAGTCCACTCAAACTGGAATGGTTTGATTAGGATAGAGCTGTCACATATCATTTCACCTCTGAACATTTCTGCATCAACATAGGAAGTTTGGGGCCAAATCATAACAGTTTTTTTTTCAATTTTATTAATAATTTTAGTAACCAACTTTAACACCCTATTTTTTCCATTTTCTCTCATTCAGATTTAGATTTTTAAAGTTTCAAATTTAAGCTTTGATAACTTTCTCTCTTCTCTGTTTTTAATTTTGTCAATTTTCTGTTTATTGTTTTCTTCCTTCTAAAGACTTTGAGTTTAATTTTATTATTACCATTCACCTTTATTTTATTCATTTTTTCTGTGCATGGTGTTGGGGATATAATCCAGGGCCTTGCACCTCCATCACTAGGCAAGCATTTTATGACTGAGCTAAATTAATAGACCACTGCTACCATTTTAAGTTAGTAATTAATGTGTGAATTTCAATCATCATACATTTGAAATAAAAACTTCAAATTTCCACTTTTTAAAGACCTGCCTTAGCTGTGTCCCACAGTGAGACATATAAATATGTTTATGAATATCTATGTATTTTATTTTATTTAAAATGTATTTATTTATAAACTCAAATTATGTATATATATTATATATAATTTATATTTAATTTGTATTCCCTTTGAAATATATTCTGATTTTCCTTGTGATTTATCCTTTAGATCAACAATTATTATTTTGAAGTGTGCTCTTTCATTTCCAAATATTTATTTTCTGTAGATAACTTATTCTTATCAGACTGTGTAGTTATTTAATTCTGTTCTCTGGAAACTATGCAATATTTCAGTACTATGATTTTTTTTAAAAAAATTTGACTGTATGTTCTCTATTTTATTTATAGCTCCATTTTCACATAAAAATATGCATATATGGGACTGGGGCTGTGGCTCAGCAGTAGAGCACTTGTGTGTGAGGCCCTGGGTTCGATGCTCAGCATCACATAAAATAAATAAATAAATAAAATAAAGATATTGTGTTCAACTACAACTAAAAAATAAATATTTTTTAAAAATATGCATATATTCTAGTTGTAATATAAGGTTAAAGTGAATAGTGGTTTTCAAATTTATCCATATTGTTTCAAAACTTTACCTATTTTTTCAGTAAGTCATAGCATGAATGGTGTCAATATTGATATGTAGGATTAGGGATTTGCCTTTTTCTTCTTTATTTCTGTCTATTTTTTAGGTATTTTGATATTTTTAGACATATGTTCAACATTTGTTTGGACTTGTGAAGTAACCCTTTTATAGTTATAAAATATTTATTTCCAAGTTTTTAAACACTTACCCTAAGGTATACACTATCTACTTTTAAGGTAGCCAGGTCATTAAAAAACTAATCATATCTGTGTGATAAAGGAAATCTAGATGAATTTTAAATAATCAACTTCCTAAAGTATTTTCTCTAAACTAAAAGTAAAAATTAAAGTAATGAAAGTGCTAATTAGATATCTTGAATGCTCATCTTGCAAATTTGGAAAATTTGGAAAACAAACAACTTCATTATCAATTATTTATTACCAAAAATTACTCTAAATTAAATGACAGTAATTGTAGTATAAACTGAAATCTATGGAACAGATTTAATACAGATATACTTACAGCATTAAAACATACATTAGAAAACAAAGAACAAAATAAAAGCATATATAAAACAATCTAGAAGCCAAAAAAGAACATACATAAGGAAAATAGGAAGAATAATTAAACATTATTAATAATTGAGGAAAATAAATTTATGAAAATATATAATGAAAACATTGAGAAATATGTCAAAATATTTAAGAATAGAAATTAGAAAACATTAGTGATAAAATGTGATTATATTGCCTTAAACAAAAACAGAAACCTTGGAGTAAATAATAATCATGAATCAAGTTTATTCAGTAAACTATCTCCAGGAGCTATTAACAGCATAACACACATTTGAAAAGATTTACAGTATTTCCTAGTGTACACTTGCCTAAGGCTTTTAATGAACTAAAAAATACAGTAAAATAGGAGAAAGCAAGCTCAAGAAATCAGAAGTCCAATTGCTTTCAGATTCATCCAGAGCCCTCCCCCAGTCAAAAGGGACATAGTTCATCTTCACATTATAAACCATCAAGATATATCTGAGGAATTTAGCTTTATGGGAACTGAGATATAAGTTTGCAAAGGGGTATTTTATACCCTACTAATTGTGTAACTACAGTTAAACTGTGTAGTCATTAAACTGGATATATACCCTCAATTTATATACCCCTAGGCAATGTGAGTGTGCTTCTAAATGGTAAGTTCAGGAAGGTTGAAACTTCAAATGGCACACTGTAAATTATTTGTAATTATGGTTAATGATCTAGAAGCAATACAAATTGTTTGTTAACTGACTGCAAATTTTTACTCTTGTTAATCAGCTTCTGTTGGTAGATTTCAAAAGGGTTTTATTATAGTCCCAATACATTTGTTCATGTATATTTCTAAAATCACCTTCATTGCATACTTTATTTAATACTTGTGATTAAAAATGTATTAATCAGTTAAGATTATCTAAAGAGTACAAATAATAAGTTTCTTGTAAATAAAGGAGTTTGCTTAAAAAAGAAGAAATGGGAGGACCATCAAAATAGGTAATATTAACTGCCATCCAAATTGAAAAGTATAACATATATATAAATATGGAACATAATTACATCATAATTTTGTGATACATAGTTATTGAATTTTCTATTTTTTGTAAAGTATTTTAATATATGTAAATTACTATTTTTTATTCAAGAAACCTAATTTTAATATTTTCTAGAAGTGGAGATAAACTTCTGCCCACCTCCACCTCAGATTCCCAATGCTGAAGATATGAAAACCACAGTGAAATATCAGGATGGAGAAAAAGTATCTGTTCTTTGCAAAGAAAATTATCTGATTAAGGAAGCAGAAGAAATTGTGTGCAAAAATGGAAGATGGCAGTCAATACCACGCTGTGTTGGTCAGTAGTGTGCAATTTGCTTTATAACATGCTTTCAGTTGAAGTTAATAATCCCCTCTGCTTTATGTAAATGAAAAAGATGAGGACCTTTTCTATTTCTCTATCTATTACACTTGATACTAAAACTGTAAGTTATGATCTAGGTTCATAAACCAGTCACCATCTTTCATTTGTGTCAACAAAATTGGACAACACTTTGGGATATTATGTAACTAGCAGATAAATTCCTATTTATGAATATTTTTCATATAATATAAGAGACACAAATCAAGGGAGATATTGGGCAAGAGGATAGCACAGATGTTTTGATGACAGGCTTAAATAGTACTTGATTTTAGTTTTAATTTAAACATTTTATTTATCTTTGACCCTTTGATTTCTGTTTTTCATACAGAAAAACTTTCATGTTCTCAACCACCTGACATAGACCATGGAAGAATTAGTCCATCTAGATTTTCAGAAGAAAGGAAAGAAGCAATTGAATCCAGACAGTATGCACATGGCACTAAACTGAATTATAGTTGTGAAGATGGTTTCACAACCTCTGAGGAAGATGAGATAACATGCTACATGGGCAAATGGAGTCCTCCACCTCAGTG